TCCTAGAACCTCAATTTTTAATTGTTATTATATTTTGATTTAATATTTGATTGATTAACTTATAAAATTAATAAAGATATGTGTTGAAGCATTATTTTATTAATAATTCCCGATTTCTCAAATTAAATTAGTTTATGCCGAATAAAGCCCCTAAGGGGTTTCAAGGTGCAATGGATGAGCTAGCCGTTACATGTTTTTAAAAGAATAAAAATTTAATTTATTAAAAAAAAAATAAAATTATATTCACCTATATTTACTTTTATTTACATAAATCATCATAAGTGTGTATAGTATATACATATTCTGTATATAATAGTATGTACTAAGTACATACCTTCAATATGTACTAGGTACGTACTTTAAGAACGTACTAGGTACATACTTTCAGTACGTACTAGGTACGTACCATAATTTGGAAAATGTTCATTTTATGTATGTATTAAGTACGTACTTCGTACAGCAAAGTACGTACATTGTACATACTTCATGTTTCATCAGTACGTACTTAGTATGTCTTATGTACGTACCTGTGCTTACTGGGTAGTTAAAAAACAGGAATATTGAAATAAAACTCGGGCATATGGATTAGTATATAGAGATCTAAATATTTTTTTGGTTTTCTTAGCCTGTCAGTATACTGGTAGTCAGGATATAGATGTACGTTTTTAACTATATATTGAATACCAGTATACTGACAATTTAAAAAATAAGATGAAATGGTTTTACTGCTTTAAAGCCATTAATTATGGAATCTGATTTTAATTGACTGATGGCTGTGCTCAGTACCACTGCAAGATTCTCTTTGGTAACTACTGAAGTCGGTTTTTCGCGTCTAAACTTTAATACTGCCCGGTTCCAATTTGCCTTTAATGGTTTAAATGCAGCAATATCTGCAGGTTGTTTAATTCTTGTCGCATCGAAATATAATGCCGCTAAAATAATTTGTAACTTTAAACATAATTCACTGGTTTGAATGGTTAAGAGAGTTTTATGTCCATCAACAAACAAAATGAATAGAAAATTAGTGTTTTTCGCAATTAGGTACATAAGACGTTAACGTTTACTGCAAAGGTAAACATAACCGTCAAATTTACTTTCGAGTAATGCTCTGTTTGGTATACATTTTTGCGATACTTTACAGCCAATACTCGTTTATTTTTGGGACACAAGAGGAAACAGGTTTTGTCGCCATTTAAAACCAGTAAAGGGTCTTGAAAAATATCAATGTAACCTTTATGACACAAGTACTCTTGAACACCGATGAACCATTTTTTTATAACTTTTTTAGAGAGAACTGAACTTGCTGTCGTTATCACTTCTGAAGTTCTCTCACTTAAATCTGGGTGTAGCTTTAAAAAGGATCTAAACCAACCTCTTCCAGACCAATATCAGTAAAAGTATTGGCACGTCTTGTGTATTGTCTTGTATATCTTCCACTCTTACTGAAAAACTTTTGTCTTGGCATCTTATGATGCAATACTTTAAACGATTCTCTTCCTGCAAACAAAGAAGGGAGCAAGGGTAGTTCTTTTATTAGTTTTCGTTTGCTCTAAACTGCAATGTTGCTCTTGGCACATTAAACTGTTCGGCTTTTTGTTGGTTCATGCCATTTTCTATGACGTGAAAAACAGACTTAAGATCTTGTTCTGTACATTGTTTGTGATACGTTTTATCTTTCCGGATATTTGGCATTTTTAATTCTAAAAATTAAAATCATATAATAGTAATCATGTTAGTTACAATGCGGACGTTTCAAATTTGATTTAGTATGCCCACATTAGCACTTATTTTATAACAACTAAAATAATTGTAATTTTATAAACACGAATCCGGAAAAAACAGAATATATTCTTATCACACATTACAGTAATTGGCCACTCTGTGATGTAGTGATTGGCAGCAGGCCCACCTCCGGTTTTTGCCTTTCAAAATAAGAAAAAAATGCTTGAAATATCTTATCTTGGACCAATATAGGATAGAAAAGCCTAAATTATAATAAATATTTTAATTCCAAGTAGGTACAGCAAATGGCTGGTAGGCCAATCACTATAATACGGATATATTCCATAATCTTATATAACACTCAATAGCAACCTGTGGTACAAAAAAATCGGAAGAAGCAAGGGGAAAGCGATTTTTGAATTTGTTGCCTAGCAGCAACATTGTCAGTCAAAAAAACACTATTTGATACTAACTTCACTAATGCAAATCTCAAAATTTAGTTTATCATAATGTAAAACACTATTTAAATAAAAAACATTTTATTGATTTAATCAAAAAACTTCTACATATAAAGCCTATTAGACTAAAAAATTATAAGTTTAGGCTTAAATCTAACGATGGAATGATAAAAACAATTTTTGTTTGGTGTTAAAGCCGTATGTTACATATGTTAAACTGCACCGGTGTATAGCCAGTTTTACAAAATCTACATCTTTCTTTAGCGGTATAAAGTGGCGAGTGACCTAACGCATCTGCCCTGATAGCATCATCAGGACAGGTGTTACAGCAAGAAAATGACGAATTAGGTTATCTCTATTTCCGTACTTGATGGACGGCCTCGCTTTACTTTGATCTTTTTAGTGTTGGACAAATACCTAGCTAGTTCACAAGAAGAATTCTTGAAAAAGTGACTTAATAATTTTCTATTGCTGGCAGCTATATTACTCCCATAAAAATCAAAATGGAGAAAATGTCTTAGTTTGGGATGAAAATGTGAGAGAAAGTGTTTGTGATGACACCCCAATTTTTGGGTATTGTATAAATTCGTTTGGTATGAAATATTCTTACTCTTGGTATACTTGAAGGGTAAGGCTACCTCTACTGCATTATTGTTTTCAGTTGGATTTCCGATTCGAATAGTTTTTATGTCATTTTCAGACCAGTTATAATGTACTTTCACTTTTGATCTTTTCTTGGCAATTCTTCATGCTTGTCTTCTTCATTTGTTTCATTAGCCTCTTCTCTTTAGTTAATAGTTGGTGATTATAAGGTTCATCATTTTAATCTGAGTCTGCGACAATTTTTTTCATATTGATATTTTCAATTGCTTCATCATACTTCTCCGTGTCAGCCAAATAAAAGAGATTAGGGTCGACAGAAAAAATATACGACATTTTTATCTTCATACTCTTCTTATATAAAAGGAGGTAATTAATATTTCACTTATATTTTGCATAGCGAAATCTTATACTGAAAAATAAAATACTCAACTGACAATGTTGAATGAGAGCTACATGATTTGTATTCAACAAAATAATATAATTACTTACCGTATACAGAAAAAATAGCACATAGCTACACTAACACAACCTTTGTATGCAAAATAAAAAGCTAACCTCAGAATTCTCCTAACAAGCGTATGGCAATAAAAAATATAACACACCCACTTACACGTAGACCTTAGACCTCTACTGGTATCCTATGTACTGAAATTATTTTTTTCCAATATCTCTATTGAATGTTAGGTATCGCCATCAGTTTTATATAACTAACACGACTTGTTGCTTACATTTATCATTGTCACATAACCGCTATATATAGTAAAAACTGACTTACTTGCTTATAAAAATGATGTTGCCTGAGAGCAACAAAACGAGATACTGTGTTAAGATACAGTACTTAGCTACTCAAATATACCGCCAAAAATTTATAACCTTGCTATTAAAACCACTGATAATGTAGGATGTTAATTGTAATTGTAATTGTAAATTGTAATGTAATTCTTTAAAAAACCCTTAAAACTTGATGCACCTGTTAAGCTTCTAATAACACATGCCTCTAGTAACAACTAGATAATATTAACTGAGAAAGATGATAGCTAGACTAAATATATAGTAATGTTGCCAAATTTCATTGTAAATAAATTGATTTCCCTATACTTTCTGAAAATCTTAATATTTCGGATTTTTGTGCCAATCACTAGTGACCGGCCAACAACTGTACCCGTTACCCTATATTGTATTATACTTATATTGAAAAAAAAAACAAAAAGATTTAAATTACCTACCATTAAGAAATCATAACATATTATAACAAATTAAATAAAAAGATACTGATTGGCAAATGAAAAAATTGCAACCTACCAAAAACGGGCGGTTTAGGCGGCGGTTACATTGGATAAGAATTTGTATGAAAATGTGTTCGTACGAATTCGTAGGAATCAGTTCTGACGAATTTAACAGGCGTGTGTGATTACACTAGGCGAGTTCATTTTATTACTAACTACTGTGTGAAGTATGGAGTATAGCTCGGAATTGTATGTTTTTGAAACATCATCATTAGTGAAATATTTGATATTAAACAAAAATAGAAGCAAATGGGTAGTTAACTATTTTTTATACAGAAATAGAAAAGGAAAGTTGGAAAGGTCATACAAAGAATGGAGAGGAAACGATGAAAAAATTGTCGAATACACGAGTATTTCACAATCCACATTTGACTATATATTAGAGAATATTGAGAGTCACATTTCAAAGCACTTGAATTTTCGAGAGTGCATATCCCCAAAGCATAAGCTGATATTGACATTAAGTTAAGTAAAAATTAATTGTTTAGAAACGTATATTTTTATTCACAAATTATGCAAAATCATTTGTTAGAAAATTGATTACATATCCTGCTGCAGTACCATCAGTACAATTATTAAAAAAAATTAAAGCTGTATCTAAGTTAGACTCCTTTGGTTCCTGTGCAGGCGACAGTGGCTGTGAATACTCTGTTGACGTGTCACTATGTACCAGTGGTGGAGTTGGAATTGAAATAAATTGACGAGAAGTTGATTGGTAATGACTTGCAGGTAAAGAAACGGCTTCATGTTCCTGCATATCCAACTGTAAGATTTTGGATCTAAAGGACAGCTTTCTATGAACTGGTAGGGTTTGAATATATGGGATAAGACTTAGTAGAAAGTAAGTGTTATTATCCTGCTTATACCCTAAAAGCTGCTTAAATGCAATTTTTCTTTTTCAATATTCATAAGTTCTTGAATAGCGCCATCTTTAACAATTTTTGCTTTTTTTATCATTGGAAGAGAATAAATTATTGGCAGTTTCTCTTTGTCGATTTACTTTAGTCGTGTCATTGGATGACGATGGAGTAATTAAAGTTTCGCTTTGTTGGCTCATTTCACTTTGATTTTCTAGTTGGGAATGATCGTTAACCATCATTGAACTTAATGTTACCTCATCTTCCATCTCATCATACGTGAAAGCTTCTTGTACAGCATTTTCAATTATACCGCTAGTTTTTCTGGGTGTAAAATGATCTTTTAAAAATGCCATATTTTGAAAATAGTGCCACTTTGACTGTGGTTCATCATCAGCACCATCTCCACTCCTTTTTTGGTTGAGTTTAAAAATTTCCTTTCTAAAGGTGTCGCGCAAACCACGCCATTTTTGACGCACATCACCTGAAAAAAAAATTATGATATATATATCATTGGCCTTTTTATTCCGAATGTTACATACAACTATTCGAAAAGTGTTTTATGAAACCTGTGAGGTAAAATGAAATAGTTTTCACGAAAAGCATATGCCTTTTCCAAATGTTGCTCTACAATTAGAAAATGGAAATTTCCTAATTGTGGAGCCATTGACGGAAAGAATATTAGAAATAAATGTCCTGCTAAATCCGGATCATTCTATTTCAATTATAAAAAAATATTTTTCGATTGTGCTTTAATGTTTGGTAGATGCGCAATACAAGTTTATATGTGTTGAAGTTGGAAGTAATGGAAAGCAGAGTGATGGTGGTATTTTTCCTACGTAATCACTTTACTACCATCTTGAACAAAATACATTCTGTGTACCTGGACCTAAGACATTGCCAAATGCAAATATTATTGTTCCACACGTTTTCATAGCAGATGCAGCCTCTACATTAAAGCACTACATAATGAGGCCTTTTTCTGGTCAAAATTTGTCGCAAAAACAAGAAAACTTTATTTACTGCATGTCTAGAGCAAGACGCCTCGTCGAATGCTCTTTTGGTATAATAACTTTAAAATGGAGAATATTGGAGAATATGGAAATGAAGAATTTTCTAAAAACGGAAATTAAAATTGCTTCTGACAAAGTCGATTTTGTAAAATGTATTTGATTAATCCACAATATAATTATTAATTTAGAGGGAAACCCAGAGATCATTAAAGATATTGTGAACCTCCAAACAACAAGCCATAGAAACGTTGGAACACGAAATTTTAACAGGGCTACTACTACGGCTTACTACATTGAAACAAATTTATGAAATATTTCAATACTAGTTAAAAACAGTTACGGAAAATAAGACGGTTATTTTGTGTTAAAACATAAAAAGTAAAATAATATTACCTTTGTCATAAAATTATTCTTAAATACATATTAAAATGAATATACCTACCTCCTAGTTTCATTTGACTTGCTATTTCTTTCCTTAATTTCTTGTTTAACTCTCTGTTGTGATACTGTTTTCTTTTTTGATCCCATAGGGATTTTTTTCCTTCACCAAAGTTATTAGTATTTTGCAATCCATCTCAAAACACAAGAAAACGCGAGTTTTTCGTACTAACAACTATTAAGAAACAAAATATTTTGGTCGTATTGAAAACACGTACGAACTCGTACGAATTCTTAACAAATGGTCGTAAGCAATATAACCACAAGCATTTCAGTATACTGATTTGTTTATTTCTGACGATTTCTTACGATTTCGTACGAACAAATTTTCGTACGAATTCTTATCCAATGTATCCGCAGCCTTAAATAAACTGGTCATATTATATGTAAATGAAGACGAAAGCTGGCGGTTAAAATGGCAGATTCCCACTGAAAGAGAGGGAACAAGAAGAGGAAGAAACTTGTTTTAGTATCTTAATGTTATGAAATCCTGCACACAGATTTTGTATAATATATTTCTTGTAGTAATAATATTAGTTAATTTTAAATTTATAGAAAATGTACTACAAAAATGCCATCTTATACTAATCTATTACATTTTTTTACGTCTATTACATCTATGACGTCTATTTTTATTTGTTATTAACTCCCAGACCTAAAACAAATAAATAAGGTCTGTGAATAGTAAACACCCAAAACAAATTTTCCTTTTGAACTCAAACATTAGTCTATTGTGAAAAAGAAGTTGGAACAATAATTTGACAGGCGTATTCCGACCGCAAACTAAAACCGATCCCATTCCATTGCAGCAAAGTTAAGTTCCCACTCCGTCGATTCGTACACATTGCAACTTCCAAAAAGTCTAATTATGGAATCTGCGGTCGAGTGATCAAGAAGCGCAATGCTTTCTAACATTGATTAGTTCCCGAAAAACTTTCAAGTGACTCGTAGATGTGGAGGATTTGGTTAAATTGGTTCCAGTGTAATTTTAGCTTTTTCGTTATTGACCTTTGTTTGCTTTCTTTGATTTCAAAATGGCTTTTGTGCGTTAGTAATGATGCAGTTCAAGAGGGCGGGTTTATTAAGCGAATATTTTTAGGGGGAAGTCATGTCTTTCAGTAAAGTCAATATGAAGTTAAAATTATTAAAACTTTTTAAGTTTTGAAATTATATATCGGCAGAATAATATGCCATTGGACAAAAATTAGGTACTTGAATTTTATTTTGATTGTAAAAAATTGTATTCTATGGTGTACAAACTTAAACTTGGTACAAAGGTTTAATTTAATTTGTATCCTTACTTATTAGTGGCTTTGGAAGGAATGACCACCTACAAGTAATAAAATCCTTAATAGAGAAAGTTACAGAATACAACAAGCCATTGATATTAATATTTGTAGACTTTGAGAAAGCGTTTGACTTAGTCCAGCATAGCTTCATTTTAAGAGCTCTTACGGAGTGCAGTATTGATTATAGGTCATCGAGCAATAAGACAAAAGAGGGAATGTAATCCTTATGAAAAGGAGATCAAAAAAGTGGCCTCTGATGGCGGACATATCCGGAAATGCGAATGCGCGAAATTTAAATTTTCCGACATTTATCAACAGTAGCTATATAATATTTTTCAGAATGTGTCTTAGCCGAGAAAGTTTTAATTAATTATTAATGATAAGAGTCTAAAATGCGACACAATTGTTAAAAAACATCAATATAAATAAGATTTCATGTGACATTTGGGACAAACAATAACATAACCCAACTAAATTTGATGTCAAACAAGGAGAGAGACTCTCTTTCCTAGTTTAATGTGGCCTCTAAAAATCGCACTCCCTGTCTAACAATATGTTTGCGCCCACTACCTTTACATTTCCTCTATTGTCTTTTTGCTCGATGTTATAGGTACACAACTCTTCTTCGGAATGCATATAATAGCGCAACAGCTGCAGTTAGAATGTATTATGGCAACACAAATACATTTTCCTTCGAGAAGGGTATTAGGCAAGAAGATGCCATCTCTCCTAAGCTATTCATCGCTTTGTCGCAGAGTGCTATGAGAAACAATAACTGGGAGAATATTGGAGTCAACATGAAGGAAGAGTTTCTAAACAACTTGAGATTTGCAGACGACATAGTCCTTATTTCAGATCGGGTAGATCATGCCATCATGGCATAGGGCCAACAATTTTAAACTGCTGCGTTAGACTTTTTGTTTTCTGTACACCGAGCTTGGGCTCGATCCCACATCCACTAAACCATTCGACAGTGAAGCGAATGAGAGGCAGCCGCTCAGCCCGCTGAGCTATCTGATCGACTATTCAGAATCTATACTGGAACCAAATGGCAAAGGTGAGGATTGATCAAGACCAATATACGGATGAATTTAAAATCCGGAAAGGTGTCCGCCAAGGCTGCATACTCTTTCCGATGCTTTTTAATTTATATGTTGAAAATATATTTGCGGAAGCATTAGAAGATACGGAATTAGGCATTAAGGTGAACGGCGTACCAATTAGCAACCTACGCTATGAGGACGACACACTGATTATAACTGATAATTTGGAAGATCAGCAGTTATTACTTGATAGGGTGAATAGCATAGGTAAAAAATATGGCCTTAAAATCAACATTTTGAAAACTAAATATATGGTCATTAGCAGAAACCCTCCAGAAAACCCGATATTATGCATAGGTGACAATCGTATAAAGCGCGTGAAAACTTTTAAATACCTTGGTACCACAATCAATGACCAATCGGATCCACAACACGAGATAAAAACCCGAATACAAATGGCAAGACAAGCTTTTGTGAAATTCAGACCGCTTCTATGTAATCAACACCTAAACTTCGAAATACGCTACAGAATGGTCAAGTGCTACATATGGTCCATCTTGCTTTATGGCATGGAAACGTGGACTTTGAAAAAAACATCTATCAACAAACTTGAAGCATTTGAAATGTGGTCATTGAGAAGAATGATGCGCATACCTTGGGTGGATAGAGTTCGAAACGATGACGACCTTAATAGAGCCGGCGTGGAAAGAGAACTCTTTGAATTAATTAAAAAACGCAAGATTGGTTACCTTGGGCACATATTGAGAGGAGCAAAATATGAAATACCACAGTTAATCCTACAAGGGAAGATCGAAGGTAGGAGAGAAGCCGGCCGCAAATAATTGTCCTGGTTAAGGAATATTAAAGAATGGACAGGAATACACAATACAGGTGAGCTGTGTCACGCCGCCAAGAACAGAATTCTAGTAATGAGATAGTCGCCTACGCACTTTAGTGTATGGCATGTTAAGAAGAAGAAGATCGTGCCTGTCAGCTTCTTTAAGACCTTCAGAGCTGGTGTATACGAGTTGGACTTAAAATTAATTTTTTCAAAACACAATATATGACTAACCTTGTACTGGCGAAAAACATCTTAACTAACGGCTCGCAAATTGAACAGGTGTATTTATAGCTATAAATATCTGGGCCAGGAGATTAAATTATGAAGAGATAATCAAACAACGAAGCTAAACAGGAAAATAGGACTCTCATGGGCGGCTTACGGAAAACTGAGAGAAGTCTGTAGATTAGATATTCCCATATGCTTAAAAAGGAAGGAAGGAAGGTCTTTGATCAATGTGTACTCCCAGTTCTAACGTATGGAGCAGAAACATTAACCCTTACCAGAAAAGTAATCAATAAAATACAAGTGGCACAGAGAGCGATGGAGAGCTCAATGCTGAATATATCATATTAATACCATAGATAGTCAATAATTTTTGCCATAATTCTAATTAAAAATTGTGTTCTTGATAATAATGTAACTGTTATGAAACTCCATGTCTTGATACGTCATGTGTTATGAATGATTCTTCTATTCTAGTTCCTTTTTGATTAAAAATGGATACAATTTGAGGTCATTTTGAAAAGTAATCTATTGCGACCAACAAGTACTTGCTTCTTTTCTCTTTTATTGGAGTGCACTGAGAACATCCACTGCAAGCCATCTAAAAGAATCTATGAAAAGATATGGTGTCATTTTAACATGAATTCTTATTCTAGGACCTTTTCTGCCGTTACATAAATCGCATTTCTTACAAAAATCTTCTACATCTTAAGATTTTAATTTTCCAGAGATCACTGTGCTAATAACTTCATTACCTGATGCCGAAAACGCTCATAATTTTTTTTTAAAGCTTGGTAGTTAATTCGAACCTGGTACAACTCATTACAAAACCTACTAGACTAGATATAGAATTATTAACCAACCTTCTACTTTAGATCTACTGCTTATTAACTACGAACAGCTGATTTATATCTCTCGAAATAGGTTCTCCTATAGGAAAGTCAGATCTTGCAGTTATAATGGCTCAAATCGAGTTTAATCAAATACGAGCCCCTTCCCATATCAGTTGACCCAACGCTAAATTGATAAGAAAATTAAATTTTAGAAAACAAAAATAAAAGCGCAAGGTAAATTTTAAAAGTTTTAATGCATCGAACAAAATTTTTCAATTTTCTAATTATACAAAATATTTTATAACGTAATGAAAGCTATTGATGAAACAAAATAATAATAAATTAAAAAAATGCATAGTTTCCTCATTAAACTTTGAAAGTCTAATCTTGTCCAATCTTTGATGTTGCGCAGCCAGGTCATTTGTCGTCTACCCGGGCCGCGTCTGCCTTCTTTTTTCCCTTCTATAATAAGCTGACGGAAGTTATACCTGTCGTGTCTAAATATGTGTCCAAGACAAGACATTTTACGCTTCTTGAAAATTTCTGTGAGTTCACGTTCTCTTAAAACTTCTCACATCTCAAAGATCTCTAAACGTCGCAACGAGCTGACTGTTAACGTCCAAGCTTCCACGCCATGTAATAGTACACTATATATATATATATATATATATATATATATATATATATATATATATATAACACTTTATCATGCGGCATTGTAGGGACAAATCAAGATTACGGGGGGTAGTGAGTAACTGTCGCATCTTTAAGAAGGTGTTTCTTGTCTTGATTGGATATTAGCGTATTTAAGGAATAGAACTACGAAGGACCACCAGCCTAGGGCTGGAATGAAAAACAG